TGGGTTAGCACTTCATTTCCACAAATGATTGGGCTGCTCTAGCAAACATAGTTCCAACAAATAATTAACTTTAGAAGTTCCTCTGTTCAAACTATAGCTAGGTCAGCATCCTATCTGTAAATTTTACAGGTTTTCTTATACTCGTATGTTTCCCCTCTGAATATACCATAATAATGGCTAAGAAGCAAATTTAAAGATTCTCATCATTTAATCGGAACATTTAAAGAAACTGAAAGGATTGTAACTTGTGATGAACACAGTGAACTGTTCTCTATATTATACTAACTTCTCCATAACATGTAAAAGTAGATTTTATTTTAAAGCAGAGTGTAATGGCAGGACTCTTCATTTCTTTTTTTTTTTTTTTTTTTTTTTTTTTTTTTTTTTTTTTTTTTTTTTTTTTTTTTTTTTTTTTTTTTTTTTAGCTGAGCCATCCCGCCACCTGTTGGCAGCTCACGGCTGCTCAGCTCGGGCTGACTCGAACCGCTGTTGCTCAGAGCTCAAACTCTTGAGCGAGCTCTTAACCAACTGAGCCACTCAGCCGGCCCTTCATTTCTTAATGCACGCTATTTGGTTTTCATTCCGATAAACTGGAGAATAAAGGAACGAATCTGATCGTGATAATAGCTGCCTTTTGCTGTCCAGCACACATTATGTGCTGGGCATAATATATTTACATTTTCAAACATCTTTTCATAATGATGGTGTGAAGTGGATAATATCATCCCCGTTTTCTAGTTGAGGAAATGGAGCTTCAAAGAGATTAAATGACTCGCCCAAAGACCTGTAGCAATAAGTGGTAGAGCTCAACTGTTTTATTCTTTAAGATTCAAAATGTATGACCACAGAGCAATCAGATATAAACTAACCTGCACAGGTCTTTGTGTTTGTGTTTTTATTTTTTGTGTGTCTCTGTAAGCAGCAGCTAACCCTGCCTTGACTACAGACTCACTCACTATAGACAAAGACAGAATCGCATTTATCATCATTGACCTAAAGCAGTGGTCATTAGAGAATGAAAGGAGGAGTGAAAGAAAGGGAAGAGGGAATAACAGTGGAAAGCAAAAATACAAGTCTCTTAATCTATATGCAGGGCTTACTAGGTACCAAGCACCATCCTAACAGACATGTGTGAATTTACCCAGCTAATCCTCACAACAATGTTATGTGGCAGATGTTATTGTCTCTGCTTTACCCATAAGGCAACTGAAACACAGACTTAAAGAATATGCTGTTTGTGCTGACAGAGCCAAGACTGGAATCCAGGAGGTCTGGCTGCCAAGCATAAGGTCTTAAGCACACGACCCCCCATCTCTGGGTCTGCAGAATGAAGGCAGCACTTGCCATGGGGTACACACAGCCCCATCCTTGGGTTTTTGTGAACACTGGATGTTTTAAGGAGACAAAACAAACGATACACATATGAAAATGGACTGAATCCTACTCTTTCTCTACTCATACTCTATAGTCTTTGAGCTATTTATTTTAAGCTAATCTTGTATGGTATGTGGTAGTTTGGTTGTTTTAACTTTTCTTCTTATGGGCTCATAGCTAGGATTTGTGTGCACAGTTCAATGGTCCCACTAGAGTAGAACAGAGGTTGACTAAAAAGAGGAGCAAGACAAGCAAGAAAGAATGTCCTCAGGACATGGCAAGCTCAATCTGGATCCAGATTTACATTTAATAACAGTGCTTCTAAAAAGAGGCATTGGAACCGCCACTCTGATAGAATACAATACATCCAGGGCAAGTGGTACCCAAGAGACATGCAGGAAAGGTGCAAGGTTATGTAGTGTCATGGGGGATGGGGCAAGGAGCATCCATCCAGGGGTGAAGCTTGACCATTGTGCTGGGGGACAGGGTGATTAAGAGATGGGCTATTAATTCCAGGAAATGGGTCACAACAGGACATGATGGTAGGAACCAAGGTAGAAGACCAGTCCTGGGACCTAATGACCATGGGGTCAAGGAGAGTGGGACAGGGTGGATGTTGGACCAGGTCCCAGCTGGCAGCAAAGGAAGCCTAGGGGTAAAGGCAGAAGCCTGGATGCCAAGCCTGAAAGGTGAGTTGGGGGCTCTAAGCGGGTAATTATAATTTGGCCCTACCTGCTGTGGGTAAGAAGCAACTCATATATTGCCTGTGTCCAACTAAGATTGGTATGAAAATTGGGTGGTGCTGAGCCTTAAGGTAAAGTGATCCAAGTATCAAACTCCAACGTTGGGGAAGGCAGGGGAAACAAAGTAGGGACTGGTAGCGGGTACATAACGTGGTGTATATGTACAACATTATTCAGTTTAGTCAAGCACAAGAACGTAACAATAATATTAATACATGCACACATATGTCCATGTCTGTATGCAGATGTATGCATGTATGTGTGTGTATGCCTCAAACTCAAGGGAAAAGGAGAAAGGCCCCTAAGGATACGATTCTCTGGCAGGACTCGTGTCTTCTTTCACTCCTCTCTGGATTACCTGCTCAAACTCTTTTGTTGAAGAGCCATGTTGATGTGCCACTTGGCTCTGCCCCACATTTTTCACTCTGTCTAGATCCAACATAGTGAGCATGAATATTAATCAGGTAATTTCTGATAATAAGTTTCCTCAGCACAGTGGTCACTTTCTCTTGGGTTTTGATGGGTCAATAAAGTGGTGAACTGTGCCAGTCATAACATCAATGAGTCTGCCAAGAGGAATCAATCCAGAAAAAAACTGTTGTTACTGTAGAGTAGCAGGCTTCTTTTTGAAAAGTTTAGTACATGCTGGAAGAGCACTGACCAACTTCCAAGGTCAACGGTGAAAAGTCATCAATAATGGTACAATCAGGAATATTGCCAAAAATTCCAATGATGAGAAAGCTTATTTGGAAAAATTATTTGGGTAGTCTCAGCACGGCGACAGTATATGGAAATTGATCACAACTTTAGCTTTAATTTTTTTTTTAGCTTTAATTTTTAAGATCATTCTCTCTCTTCTTTTCTCTGTCTCCTCTTGTTCTCTTCTTTCTTACCATTTTATGCATAAAAATGCAACCAGGCTGAACTAAAGCAAATTGGTTTAATTCCCTGGTGGGAGCATGAACAAATTTTCCCAGCAACTCTCTACCAGAGGCATTTGTGTACGGGTATGTGGCTGGAATGTGGAAGCAGTCAGCTACATAAACCAGTAATCAAATGAAATATTACCCATTCCAAAGTGCCCTAAAACACCATTAACATTACCAATTAAAACACTGAGCATAGGAGAAAGGAAAATGTCCCTGCCCCAAAAGAAACAGAAAAGAAAGGAAAAAGTAAATATGTACATGCGTTGTGTAGCAGGGGGTAGAGGTGGTATCGAGGGAGGAATAAAATCGAAGGGAAATTAATTCACATTTAAAGGCGAATCTATCACAGGAGTGCTAGCAGGAGGTCTCTTTGGTGGGATAGAAAAAAGGTGTAAAGAAAGCATTCAATAATTTCATCAAATTGAAATTTCAGCAGTTTATCTAAATTGTCCACAGCCATTTGTATGTGCCCACTTTGAGCGTGTTCTAAAAAAAAAAACAGTCTAAATAGAACAGGATAAGCAATAAACATTAAGCGTTCTTTTCTCTTTTATGGCTGAAACTTCTATTGAAACATTGGTGCTTCAAGGATCAGCAAGGGGTAGTGTGTTCCTTCATTCATCAAACACTTGTTCAACAAATGCTGAACACTTGTGCCGCCCTTGATGTTGGGGATACAGAGACACAGCAGATATTCCTACAGGCCTTACAGAGCCCTCAAGCCAGGCTCCGAAGCTAGCCTGCCTTCAGTATTCTATAATGAGACTGGCCACAGGTCAGCCTGTTATCCTCATTTCGGCATGGCATAGACAGCGCTAGTGTTCTTCTGTAAGATGGTTTCTACAATCCTGTGGACTCTGCTTCTGACCATGACCTGGAATAAGAGCATCAGCAGCCTCCCCCGCATAGGACCTTTACATGGCCTCAGAGCCTGCACGCCTGAAGAATACTTATTATCTTTTACTATTTTCCTGAAAATCTAATCAAGGGCATGAGCGAGAGTGGAGCATGTCAGCTGACCTGCAGCCTGGCCCACCTTTAGATTCCCCTCCCGGATCTGCCCTTCTCCTGCTCAGCTGCAGAGCACAGCTAACCCCGTTCCCTGGCATATCATCCCAGACCCTCCCTCTGGCCCATCTGCCTTTTCAGATTTACCTGCCACAGTACACCTGCCTCAGCTTCTGGGCACTGGTTCCCCGTCTCCTCGAGAAGACAGACTGAGGACTCTGCCCCTCATCTTTGCTTTCACCATTACCCCTTCACCCATTTCTGCATTGAAAACATTCTTTATACATTTACTGTTCCACTTAAACCCATGATTATAATCACTACCAAAAAAAATGGTCAAATATAAACAACAAATTAAATTATGTTAAGACCACTGCCACCGCCAGACACTGTTACAACATTGAGAATTTCAACTAGATCTTAATTAAAAACACATGTAGGCATACAAAGCTACTAAAATATATAGATAATAAAGTAAGAGTAAATTTAAATGCCTGCTTTTTCTTTTTTTGTCCAAGTTTGTTATTGTGACTTCACCTTTTTTGTTTCTGTTTCTCCCTCTCTTTCCATGGAAATAAAGTTTAAAAAAAATATATAGATGTATATTCCTTTTCATTTTTATTTATACCCTGTATATGTATACTAGGAAGGAATCTAACTTATAACATAATGACAATCAAGAACCAAAAGTATGGGGTTAATGAAATACTGTCTCAGTGTCCCCAGATGTGTGCAAAAGGACTTACAGAAATCGTATCACACAAGTCCATCACTAAAGCACTAGTAAGGTTATAAAAACAACGTGTCATTTCTCTCATTCACTGTTGTCATCCCATCAGGCGGCTCATTCAGAATTTCTTCTCTTACTTGCAAAGCTGTGTAGCTTGAGGGTAGGGGGTGACTTTTTCTGGCAGCCCACCCAGCTGTTGGTCCAGCCAGTGATTACCTGCACAGGAGTGGTGATCTTGGTAGAAGCCGCCCCCACAGGTGGACACACACTGCCCATGCCGCATCAACAGGGGGGGCTGGCAGGAGGAGCACTCCAGCCCACTGGTACACGTGGAGCACTCAGGCTGGCAGGCTGGCTCCACACAAGGTTGGGAGAGAGAGAAAGGGAAGCTCCAATTAGTTTAAAGACATGACCCCAGTGCCGATTCCTACATAGCCCAATCTGAGGCCCTGGGGTCACAGAGGACAAGAAAGGCAGGAAGATCACTTAGCCTTCATTTACATAGCACCTCATTTCATACCAGGCACTATATGAAGTGCTTTACACATACAATAATGCATTTCACCTTCATGACAACCCTATGAGGTAGATGTTATTAATCCTAATTTTACAGATGAGGACCAAGCGAACAGAGGTTAAGTAACTTGCCCAAGTTCACATGAAGCTGGCATTTGAAGCCAGGCATTTGGCTCAGGGGTATGTGTTCTTGTCTTCTTATCCAGTAGCCCCTAATATCTTTCTCACTCAACCTTTTTACAAGAACATCCCTTGCCCCTTTTCCTCCACAACCTATGGCAGAGATAGAAATATCTTTCAAAAAGGCTGAAGATTATGAGTCAGGAGAGAAAACAGGAAGAAGTGAATAATTACAAAAATATTAAAAGCAGCTAAGGGTTATTGAGCCCTGACTGTATCCTACATACCATTCTAAGCACTTTACATGTATTGACACACTTAATCCTTACAAGAGCTGTTTGAAGATAGGACCAGTATTACCCCACTTTACAGACAGGAATACTGAGACACAGAGAGGTTAAATACTTACTGCCAGGGTATGAGCCTTCACACTTTAAATGGATAATTAACCGCATGAGTCAGAGATAGGAAGCAACGTAACTGCGATTTGGCCTGAACCAAGTCAAATTTTCTCAGGTAAGTTCTCCTTCTCAAGAATTCTAAAATGCATATAAACCCATTCTGGATTCTTTGGTAACCCACAAGACACAAGCTCCATCACCAATTATCTGCATGATGTTGAGCAAGCCAGTTGATTCTCTGTCCCACAGGTTTCCCATTTGCAAAATGAGAAAATTCTAGTAAGTGATCTCGAAGGTCCATGTCAGTTCTAAAGTTCTATCTTGGATTCACTGAGTGCTTTAATAAATGACACCAAGCATCCTGATAATATTGCTATCCTTGAAAGTCTTCAAAAATAAAAAATTCAGCTATGACTACCTAGCAAGCATCTGTCCTCCTCATCATCTGTCTCTCAGTAAGCATCGAAACACCTGTGAAATATTAGAAGCAAGAGACCTGCAGTTAAAGAGGCTAAGTAACTTATGGGTGATGTTTCTATCTTCTAATTGTTTTTGGAACTTGGGCATTTCCTGCATTCATGACCCCATTCTTGACAATTGTCAGCCTCAGTCCACCTCTGGGCTGTCTGCCTGGAGCCATACCTAAACAGAGAGCACCAGCTTGGTAAAATCCCGGACCACAGCTGTGCACACACCGTCCATTCCGCAGCAACTTGGTGGGATCCTGGCAGAGATCACAGTGGTCTGGAGACTGACAGCAGGTCAAGCAGTCTGGGTGGCAATGAACTACAAGCAGAGACAGAGAGAAGGAAAACTCAGGCAAGACCACATGACTTCTCTTACCTCCTTCCGAAAAAGAATCTACATGGTAAATGGAGCTGCGCCGAACATGAAGAATAGAAAACTCTGAAACTTAGGTATGCAAAAGGTCTCCCAAATAGAAAAAATGATTCCAATGCAAGATTGCCAAGAATCTCTCCTTATCTGAAATACTATTAGTCTCCCATAGCCCCAAACTGAAGATGCCAAAAGCATTACTGAAGCAGTTCTATTAATGCTTCCACCTGCTAGAATGCCTCTTAAAACAGGAATGACTACCTCCACAATATAGGATTTAAACAGATTCAATAGTTTATGATTATTCAGAGGTTCTTCTTAGGCTTGATGTGCATGCAAAGTTAAGACATAAGACCTACAATTTTTAAAAGTCATTATTTTCTTTAAAAAAATACAGCCAGTTTTCTTCTTTTCCTCTAAAATTTCGAATCTCATTCTCAGAAATTGGAATTATCACTGAATTTAGAGGTAATTGTCAGCAAAGGACTTCTTTCAGGTTTTGAGCTGTTGAGAGAACCTGATTTTCAAGGTATGCTACATTATAATATGCTAAGTATTTGTGTTGGAAAGCCCAGAGAGCCACTTTGGTGAAGGTAGCATAATTAAGCCATAAAGTTGCTTTGCTTTTCCCGTGATAAACTCTTCACAGAAACACTGTGATTAGCCAAAACGGGTTGAGTGCAACAAGAGCAAATGCCAATATGAAAAACTGCAACCCACGGATGAAAACAATTAATTATGAAATATGAATGGAAGAGAATGCCACTTCTCTAAGAGACCAAGCTTAAAGGCAAATTACTGCTCAGACAGAGTAACTCAAGTACTTGCCAACAATTATTAACTGGAACTAATTCAACCCCAGGTGATTTGAAAGCAGGGTTGCAGAACAAGTAGATAAAATTTTCTTTTGGAAGAAATTAATGAGTCTTTAAACTTCAAAAGCCTATTTGATAACTCCAAAAGGAACCATCTGTTTAATAGCTCACCTTAAGAAAAACGGGCACCCATACCACGCTTTCAGAAATTATTCTTATATCTTCAAAAAATGAAACAGAACTAACACATATATTTGCTTTTACAAGTTTTCAAACATTATGTTATTTGATTTTCACAATAATTTTCTAAGGTAGATAAGGCACATTTTATCAACAAGAAAATTCAAATTTAGAGGGGGTCAATGACTTGCCCAAGGTCACATACTCATAATTAGTTGAGGGTGGCAAATATTATACATGCACAAAGATTAATTAACATCCTTTGTTAGAAAAAATTAGGAAGGAGAAATAAACAAACCAACAAACCCAGTGGGTGACTTAAAAAAAAAAAAAAGGAAGGCAGGGGAAAAAGGGGACCTCTCTCAATTTTTTGGCAGTGAAATATCTCAGTAGAAATAAATCTAACATGGACCCACCTGATGTGCATTCTGGGCAGCACTGTCCCTTCACCACCTGGGCTAGTGTGGCCACTGGACACGGCGGACAAGAGGGCTCATAGCAAGTTACGTGTCCCCCCCGGCACTCACACAGCTTGCAAGGGCCATCTTCCCACTTCTCCCCGTCCTGCATGAAACAGTAAAGAATCACATTGTCATCAGAGTGCAGGGATTCAGAGACAACCTGCTGATGGAGAATTTATCATTTCCATAAGGGACAAGGTAAAGCCTCCTGCTCACTACCATGTCAAACCTAACTCTGGAATAGCACAGTAGTTCTAAATTTAAAAGGATAGTGTTTCTTCTTTGTTTTTAATTGGTTTATTTTTAACTTAGAACCCAGGTAGAAAGAGGAACTGTGAAAGCATTCTGGGACTACCAGAATAAGCAAGAAGAACAGAACACTTGTTTCCCAACCCATCTCACCAAAAAAACCCAAAAAAACAAAAAAACAAAACAAAACAAAAAAATGAGGGGATTACTATGTACCTAGTGATTAGCAGGTACACATTAAATACAATCTTTATAATAACAGTGGGAAGCTGGTTAAAGCCCTGAATTTCCTGGTGGTTACTACAGTAAGAGTAACAGTAGAGTCACGGTATTCTTAAAATGAAAGTTTTTGCAGGCGCAGTTTTAGTGGGCTGTAGATGAGCCACTGGGTTGTCTTATGCGAAAATATTATTTTCACCCAGCAAATTATGGTAATAAACATTAGTACTTTGACAGAGGATCCAAAGAGAATTATAAAGAGCAGTTTTTCTTGCTTTGTTTTTGCTCACTATCCCTGTTGCCTTGGATGTAGAAAAGAGACAAAGGTCCCTACCAGGGTGTTTTGGAGTGATGAAGAAGTAAAACAGGAGAGAATAGAAGAGCATATTTTAAAATAAAGATTTGATAAAAGGTTTATTCAGCCAACTGATGTTAAACATTCCAAACAATTAACGTGATAATATTTAGCAACAATGAATGACAATATTAGGAAAATGAAGAATATTATTTTGAGAAAGCAGATGTTTTTTTCCTCCATTTCAAGGCAAACTGGATTCTTGCCTCCCCACCCCACCCCCCATTCTATAACCTCCCAAACTATAAGTTTGCTTGGTTGAAAAAACATGCTTGTATTTCCTCTTAAAGAGAAACCATACATTGTCCTGCACACAACCTAGAGAGAATGAACACTCTGTATTGCTTGAAGAATGAACACTCCCCAAACTCAAAAAGCTCTGTCTTCACTGCTTTACATTGAAGTATGAAATTGCACTAATGACTAAACTGAGTTTTCTAGGCCAGGAAAAATCAGGAAGACAAAATTATCACAAGAAAGTGAAAGAATCTATGTAGGGGCTTATAGTAGTAGAAGTATTAACTATCAATTGTGGGGAAAAAATAAGCTAAAGAAAAAAGAAACTGTTCAATGAATCAAAGTCTTATTTATCATTAAGATTCTTAATCCCAGACCATCACCATCAAACATGACTATTAAAAATACTAAGGCATTAAGTTTCCCCAGGACAGTTAATGCAGACTATTGCTTAAAAACAATTTTATAAATATCTATATACAAGTGAAAAATCTATACTTACTGGAATATGTTTAACTTCACTCACATTTGAGGATATCTAAGAACAAAGAGAAATGTATTTATCATACTACTAAAAACACCATTAGGCTGATCTATTTATTTTCTCATTAGGAACTATCCATTTTCCCCCAACTAACATACACCTTCTTTTATCGGTTATGAATAGAAGTAAAATCTATCTATATAAAAAATAAGAAAAGCATACCAATATAAAGACAACATACCTAGGAAATATTATCCTCACTTTGTGCTTGAGCAGTTGGATTTAATTCCTCTCAATATGAGAGACTTCACAGTCAAGAGATCTAAGCTTGTAAGGGTAAATTCTAGTACCACTTGTGTGGTACTAGAAAGCATTATGGGGATTATGTACATATGTACATTATGTAAATATGTACAAATGTACATATTTAAAACAACTTGCTTTTCTTTAATTCCACTGGGCTTAATTTATCTCCAAAAATGAGCAGGGAAATTAATACTATGGTTGAGAAAATATAGATTCAACATTTATAGGGACCCTTTAATCTCTTAAATTCTTAAGAAACAAGGATGACTAACCTATGAAATATCACTATGAAGCAAACAATGCCAACAGCATAATAACAATAATGATATCATTTTAAAACTTTTTTGTGTGTGTGCCAGGCACTGTTCTAAGTGCTTTATACATATCATCTCAATAAACCCAGGAGGTAAGTACCATTTTTATCCTTTCTTTGCAGTTGAGGATTAAGTAACTTGCCCAAGGTCATACAAAGTATGTGGTAAAGTAGGGATTTCAGCCTACACAACACTGCCTCCCCCGCACATACAGAGCACTGACAGGCTGACAGATGCAATCTGCCCAAAGCACAAAGAAAAGAATCTACAGAAATCAGTTCACAAATCAAAGCACCTAATCCTAATTCTTATAATTCTATTCTGATTGGTTAATGAAACAGCTGTATTGATGATCAACTGGAATATTTTTAAGAACACAATGAATTAATTTATCAACATTCCAAAACCCCATGTGGAAAATATGGGCAAATAAACAGAGTAAATTTAAAGAGATTAAGATAATATTTCCCCCCCTTTGGATATATAATAAAAAAGTAGACATAGGGAAAAATGAAACCCTAGCAAATAGAGTTTCACAACACATCTGATCCACCAAAATCCTTTCAATTCTCTCTGCAGAATAAATCTAAAGCCTGATCACTTTTCACACTTCTTTCCTAGAGCAAGCCACCATCATTTTTCCTCTGGACTAGTGTAAAAACCTTCTAACTGGACCACCTACTTCCGGTCTCGCCCCCTTCTGTTACTCGCCCACATAACAGCCAAAATGATCCTTTCGCAAGTAAGTCCATCACAGCACCGCTGTGCTCAGAACTCCCCATCAGCTTCCATCTGCCTCAGGGTAAAACACAACATCCTCACCATGACATCCCAGATACCTACTGGACTTCATCTCCAACTTCTTTCCCTCTCAGTCACCTGGCTCTAGCTATACTCACTTTCTTGCTATTTCTTGAACATGCCAAGCACACTTCTGCTTCAGGTTTTGTTTTGTTTTGTTTTGTTTTTTATTAGTATTAGTTTCAGGTGTAGAAAACAATGCAATAGTTATCTTTTTCACCCCTCACAAAGTAACAACCCCTCTGCCCCCCATCCACTGCCCTCCAGCTTTTTTCAATTGCTGATCCCTCTTCCTGGTATGTCCTTCTACCCCAGGTATCCATGTGGCTTGCTCCCTCATATCCTTCTGGTTTTGCTCAAATTTCTCTGCCTGAGAGGACTTCCCTGATCATCTCATGTAAAAGAGTACCTCACTCCCCCCAGTTACTCTCTAGCCCTCTTAAGCCACTTTGTCCTCTGGGCAGCACTCTGTCCTCTTTGTCCCCACAACTAGACTGTAAGCTCCACAAGAGTATGGACTCTGCTTTCCATGTCCACTTCTGTATCCCCAGTACCTGGCACACAGTAGGTCTACAATCACATCTGTCAAACAAATGAATAGGTAAAAGAAATGAGAAGGTAATACCCTCTCATTAAATTAACTTTGAATTATTAATTTTAAGTCTTCAGTTTTTAGCCCAATACTCACAAATGCAGCATTTTCTTCATAAACACAATAGCCATTCCTTGCAATGCATTCAGGACAGCATTTTCCATCTAAGTGAATTAATTTTTCACCCTGTATAAGCAAGGGTTTCAGAGACACATATCAAATTAACATATCCAGGTAGCAGTGTTAAATCTCGAAGCAGCTGGATTCCCTGACTGGGATGAAAAACCTGAGCACACCCCTATGTTTCCCCATGATTTATTTCATCTCCCTCTGCGCTGTCTTCCTAAGGAAAGTCTAGTCGATACAGTTCACCCTCTAAGTGCTTTCTCTTTCCAGTTCTGGTGTTACTTGTGCACAGATCTTTGCATAATTCCCTACTTATGGCCAGGAGCTCATGTGAATAAGGCGGATGGCCAGGATCAAAGTCACAGTCCTAGAAACTTAATTAGTTTCAGAAAAGGATCAGGCTTTCTTAAATACACAAGGTTTGAACTTGTGATCTCATTTTGTTGACAGCACTCAAATCAAACCAACATTTTTCCTTAAATACAAAATCAGACACATCCTTTTATGCACAAATGTAGTCTCAGACATAAGTTAAATAGTAGAAAACTAATTTCTATTCAGTATTCTGAAACTGTTATCTAACCTACATAATCACTATTTTTAAAATTTGAAGAGAAAGGAAACAAATGCCACACTAGGAAGGTAGATGTTTAACTACCAAAGTCTTCTCATTTTAACTTCCCAATACCAATAATTTCAACATTTTTATTTTTATTACAAAAGAATAAATGCTTACTAGAAAAAATTAAATAATTCTGAATTCTGTAACTTTAAAAGTATAATTCCACTGCTGTCCTATCTCCTAGGGAGTCTGTGTTAAAAATACAATCTAAAGAGCCTTCTTTAAAACACTTTACACTTTCTAAAGATACATCTACTTTCTAAAGAATGGTGACATTTCTTTAAATGAAGACACTAATTTGGGATCTATATTACATTTAAAGTGGAGAAAGCATGTTAGGTAAAAATTGAGTAATGTAAAATTGCATAAACAGAATAATCACAATGATGTTTTATGTATAAAAACACTGTGCATTAAATATATATAAGAGCACTGGTTGCCTTTGAATTGTAGCATTTTGTATGGATTTTAAAGTCTCTTTTCTATTTTTTTAAGTCTTCAATTTTTCAAAATAAAAATGTATTATTTTCATGAAAGAAAATACAAACTTTGAAAAGAAACACAAAAATACGTGAATGATTATAACTTTTTATAGTGTCTATAAAGTTATTTCAAAAAGAAGAGAGTTATATAGATTGCTGTCCATCAAAATCTAATACCAATCAGAGGCCAACAGAGAGCACTGGGTGCTATAGCGAGCAGACATATTTACATATAAATTGTTTTGCAGAAATGTGACAAATCAGCTGATAGTGAAGTCATAACCCAGAAACAGTGAAATTTGTTTTCAAAGCATATAAAGGCGTTTATAGGCATGTAATCTAGGTCGCTTAAAACAATGTTTTGAAATGAGACAGAGTGCCGTATGTGTACTTCTATTAAAGACAAAATGCATGAGAGACTCTTGAGCGCTTGCTACAATACATACAGACAAAACGGAAAAAAAAGCCGGCATCACCCCAATAAAGCAAAGAAGGTGGCTGTTCTGAGTCTTCAAACGCTACTGTAAATAACAGCCAGCTCTGCTTCTGAGAAGCAAGGATTCAGTTTTAGTGAGGTAGGAAGTTCTAAATAGATTTGCTATTTATAGAAGAAGCCTGGATGCCCCAAACTGCATCAGCTTACTGCGGTGGGGAGCTTGCTCCAATTAGCATTTGACTTTTGCTTTGAGAAAAATGGCTTTGTGAAACAAAACTAATTCTTTTCTTTTTAGGAGGATTCTGTAGCCTAGGTCAGATGGAATCCACTAACCCCTCCCCACTGAATCACTGCTACATCCATCCAGCAGACAAAAGACTCAATGATTCCACAAACTTGTCCACTGGAAAAGGAACACTCTTCTGAGGGGATTTTCCTCCACTGGACAAGTGAAAGGCACCTGACATTTATGGCATGCCTACCGGCGTCCACACATTTTGCTACAAGTTTCAATTCCCCTGTCATTTTATGCCTCATAGATGAATGTTAAGTCCTTTTCTAAAAAGGCAATTTGACTTCTTCATCTGAATTCATCTTTAAAGATGAGACAAAATACAGAAAAATGAAAATCATCATATTGTGCTCCTCTACTGTTGATTTACTTAGGGTTCAATGTCTAGTTTGTTTTGATATACCAAAGACAAGGGTCAAACCATTTTCTCCTTTTTAAAGAAAAATTGTGTGCTGATTTCAATGCTATTCAGAATATTGTCAACCAGTGTGATAATTATTACAAGGGTGAAACCACACAATTTTGCCTCTTCTCCTAGTTTCCTTTTCTGCATCTTTGTGGATATGCACACATTTGGACTTAATCCACCCTTGGTATCCAAGGTTAGAAATCTAATGACCTTGGCATTTTAGAAAGGACAAAAAGTGGGGTAGAATTGAATAAAATACTAAGCATATTTTTCCCCTCTCCCCTTGGCAGATGTAGTCATTTTCTCCAGGTGTTTCTAATGCATTTAATTTATACTCCCATAATTGTTGGTGCCACCACATATTATAATTTCTGTTTATGTATCTGACTTCCCCCAAAGCTTGGGAACTCTTGAGATCAGAATGTGTCTTATTCATCTGTGTATCTCCAAGCTAAGCAGAAGTTAGGCAGTTAGGAAGTACACCATGCTTTTTCCAAGGTCATTATTCACAGAAGTATGGCATAGAAAGAAGGGTAAGGGATATTTGTGTCAGATTCAATTTTGGTTAAATTTCACTTCTCGTTTAGAAGCCAGTGCTTTAAACAAAACTTGTGAACATGGAGATAATCTGGAATATAGCAATTTAGTTGATTTAAGATCTGAAGAAATAGGCCAAAGGCATTAGAACTCCTCAATTCATAAAGGAGAAGATGGGATGGGGGGTGGGAGACAGAACTAGAAAGGGCTGAGATGTTACGGGGTGACTTGAGTACCAAGGCCCTCTCCACTTACTTCAACAGTTGCTCCCCATTTCTGCTAAGAACAGAGAAGAAAACCTGGCTCATGTTGCCATAGGTAGAGGTCATGGGGGACAGAAAGGCACTTGGAAATTCACTGACATTGAGGAGAGTGGGTCAAATTATTTTCTGTAAATGAGGCTATTTGATTGAACCTGACAAAATAGGGGGCTAAAGGACCCACGCTACTAGGATCATCTCTTCCCACATTTTCCATAAACCCAAGGAGCTTAGAGAAATTAAAACCTTGGAAAACAACCCAACATCCTCTGGGCAGACTGCCGAGGCCAGGGAGTCCAGCCTCAGCCTGAGAGAGAAGGACAAAGAAAAGGGCCCTGATTAGGGTTTTTCTCATCTTCATCCAACCATTCTGACTCCCCTGACATAAATAAAGAAAAGAAATGAAAAGGCGTGTGGGGGGAAATAAATCTGCAAGAAGCAAGACCCTTTATACTTAAATATGTCTCAGCTCTGCCAGGTCTTAGATGTAGGAGGCAAAATGAAAAATAACCTTGTCATCGACAGCCTTGTTTGAAAGGCTGTTCCTCCTTAGGCTCAGTGTTAAGAGGTGCTGAGATGTGGGGGAGAAGAACTAGAAAGAAAAATGCCTTCACAGACATCCAGTACCTCAGATCTTCCAAGTTTCCCTCATCTACTCAAGTTCCCAACCCTGCGGGAACTTGGTGGGGCGGATGGGTGCGGCAGGGGAGAAGGAGACAACTTTAAAAGCAATTTGTTTAGCAGTGGGTCAAAACTGAGTTCAAAGAGAAAACATTAAAAAAAAAAAAAGCAATTTCCCTACAAAACACTATAGTCCAAACAGAGGCTACATTTTTAGCCACGTCTAGAAATTCTGCAGACAGCAGAAGTTAACAGAGGCCACCAGAGATGATTATTTGCGAGGTCCCCCCTCCCTCTCTCTTCAAAACAAAAACAAAAACATTTTGTTGTTTTTCTTGATCCACAGGAGCAGCCCCGAGGCGCTGGCTCTCCTCTCTGCCTAAATGCTGCTAGGGGGGCCTGCAACGGAAGCTGGGCCACCAGAGCACCTGCAGACCTCTGTTTCACAACTGTAGCCAGGTGGGCAAGCCACCAGCAATGAGGTCCAGCTGCGCAGACTGATGGACTAACGTCCCATATCACGGCCTTCCCGTCCATGTCTCTGGTTTAGGGCTTTCAATCTGACCAGATGCACCGAGAGCTAAAAGCTCCAGGTGGCTGTTCCAAGCCAGCCTGAACAAATAGTGACATTTACTTAACACCACAGAATCTTTGTACTAGAAGGCTCCTTGAAATGTGAGCTGTCAACCTGGCGGTCCCCTCTGCTGCCAAGAAGGAACAGGTGTGGGAGCACCTATCCCTTTGGAGAGAGCTATTCCTGCCTCTGCTTCTTACCTGGGCACACTCCACCTTGGCACACTCTGCAGTCTGGCAGGTCACTTGGCCATGGTCACACATGCAGAACTCACAGGCCAAACCCTTCCACATCTCATCCTGGTACCGTATAATCCCACCATATGAGCAGCTTCCAGCAAGAGACACACATTCCTCACAGCATTCGCCATGACGCTGAGCCCTTCTCCGACCCTGAGGAAACAGAGAGAATAGTGGGTGAAGGGTAATACTCAGGAGAGAGTGAAAATGTCCGAGCCAGTGGGGCAAGCGGACACCAAACACCAACACAACACGCGGCTTCCTCCCCCCACCTAACCCATCTGAGGCAAGTTCCCCTCAACCTCAGCCCTCTTTCCTGGGAAGTGGATCTTTCACATCTTTAGCTAATATTCTAGACATTATAAAACTTTTGATTCCCTCAAGGGACACACAGAACTAAGAAATACATTTCTTAAATGACCCGGAATAAAACTTTGAAAATCAAGCTACACACTCCCAAATACCTTTTCACATCTTAATGGAGGGCAGGCCTGTGTGTGGCACCGGACCTCACCCCGGTCACATATGCATGTGGTACAGGCATTTTCATTCCACTGTTCACCATGCTGAGTAAAGAAAGGAAAAAAGAAAGTGGAAAATCAAATGTCACATAGATCAAATAAACACACAGGCACATAAGACACATGATTTTTTTATTAGTTTTTAATTGAGCCACATTGAATGTACTCCTGGGAAATGATATCATTTAGGTAGCAACAGCCTCTAAGCACAAAGTCAATACATGTCTAAAGGAGACTTTGGATGAATTTTCACTCAATTCTATGCATCCCACAGATGCGTTGAGGGCTTGCCCTACTCCAGGCATATATAAGCCCTGGAACATGGAGATGAAAAGGAAGACACTGGTTGTTAGATAATCGATGGTCATTCTTTAGCTTTTCTTCTTTGCCAGAAGACCCAGCTCTCCTGCCACATACTCATTTTCTCAGCTTCCCTTGTAGCTAGGGCACAACATTGTTCCAATTCTAACCGAGGGTACCTCAGGGAAGTTTGCTAGAGCAGTAGAGGTCGAGAAAAAGAGTCTTCTCTCCATAAAAGAAAAGCCCATCCCTTTCTTCCACCAGCCTGTAGTAATCGTGTGAGGATGAGCAGCCTGGAGCTGAGGAAGCCATCTTGGGGACAGGAGGAGACAGGACAGCCGGTAAATGCCACATACTGAAGATGGCAGGGTGCAAAGATCAAAAGAGCTTAGATCTTTGATAACATCCCTTAGAACTGAATTGATCAACCCTACAACTGCCCTACCTCTGGACTTCCTGTTATATGAGATAATAAATGTTTTCATTTTAGCTACTTTTAGAGGCGTGTTTCTGTTATTTGCAGCCAAAAACACCATAAAAAACATAGGCTATCTCATCCATGAGAAATTAATCTAGTACATATGTTGCCATTGTATTGGACAGCATAGATATACTACATACAGAAATCCTTTTCCAATTAGTTATTTTCATTCAGATTTCACATATCCATTAAGAACGTGTGACACCCATCCCCTAATACTTGGTTCCAGATTCTCTGCTGAGAATCATAATCCCAATTTCTATTTCGTTTTTCTTAGAGTGGCTGGCAAGCAAGAGAAATAGTTGGGTTTATTTTTAATATGTTCTTTGCTTTTGGATAATGTAACCTTCTTTTGCCTCAGCTGGGCACTCCTGAAACAGAATATTCACTGATTCATTCTCTTTGTTGAACTGGTTTCTATTTGGTCCCTACTATCTATTAGGCAGTTATCTAGACTGCCCCAATTGTACCTTGGAGTTTATGGGATCCACCACCACCAGCCTCTCACCTCCCTTCCCTCTCACCTGCCACCCCAAACCTCCCTGAGTGTAAGACAAGGGGATATTTCTCTAGATATCAGTGCATAAAATCCTACCAAAGCAGACAGACATCCCCAGAGCCTCCAATCTAAGTGTAAACTGATAGTACCCAATGATAGTCCTTTTTCTTCTTCAAAATGTATGAACAGTAAATTCGCCAAGTTCGTCAGCCAGATGCTGCTTGCCAGCACATTCCTTTATATTTCTAATCCCCTTTGGTTTAATTTTTTCATAAAGGCTTTCCTTTTAGAGAATGAAAGAAAAGCTGTTTATGTACTGAGTTACTAACCCTGACAAAGAGTCAGACACAAGAGAAGGAGGTACAGTAGTCGGGCGAGTGGAGGGCAGATGTGTGAGAATTTATATCCAACATAGAGTACATCAAAGTTACCTCGTATACTTGGCCGGCCACGGAGCATGATCGGGAAGAGCACTGCGGGCAACATTTTCCAGGGACTCGGATTACAGTTTCATCCTGAACACCCAAAAAGGAACAATGCTTCAAAAGGAGATAGTAATAAAATCCACAAAAGTCGGAAAATTTCATTGATAGCCAACTCAAAGCATGTGCCTCAAGCATCCATAAACAGTATCTATTAGTCACCTGGTGCTTTGATAAGAACTAGTACTTCCAAGGTCAGTGTGACCATTAAGAAACCTGCACATTCTTTAAGTCCCATCCTCTTCTAAGAACAAATAAATGCACAAACAACAGTAACAATAGTGCTCAGTGTTTTCCAGGCACTGTTATAAGTGCTTTATACGACCTTATGCAGTAGATGCTCTTGTCATTGCTTTGCAAACAAGAAAAGTAAAAATTAGAGAGGTTGTGACTTGCCCAAGGCCACACGCCTGGTAACAGTAAATGGTTGGCAGTGGCAACTCAGAGCACCAGCCTTACCAACACCTAAAAACATTTATTTATACTCCTGTTGACTTACGTCTAAATTCAAAGTGAAGATATCCCACCCTTGATAAGCAACTTCACTATTCTTTTGCATCTTTATGTGAATCCACGCATATATATATATATATATATATATATANTATATATATACGCATTGGGGAGATTCTTAACATGAAAAAAAAAATCAATACCGCTAGATATCTGGGAATAAGCCAGTGCTTATTTACCTCTACAGCCCCACCCCACCCCAGAATACTGAACCATTTGTCTCTGCTGCCCTGAGAAGAATCTTCACGGCAACACATTAATGCCAAAGAGTCAGCTTCTCACTTTGACTTATCACTACAGCCTTCCTGAAGGGCAAGGAGGTACACATACTGGTATTAAAGGCAGGAGATAGAGGTTAGAATAAACCAAGCTTCAATGACTAAGAAGTGACAGATCTTATAAAGAGGAGACCTCCATAACAGTTCTCTTCCTTCTCTTACGAGAAGCAGAAAGTGAGGTTTTATTATCATGGTTGCTCTGATATTCATTCTGCAGGGGAAAAGGCCAAAGTACTGGGGGAGGGGGCATCGAATAACCTTAATATTTCATGGAAAGTCCCAGTCACACTTCAGTAGTTCTTTAACCCAATTATATATAATCAGTTAGATTAACGTGCTACTATCTAACAAGGATTTATTTCAAACACCCAAATCTCTGCAATTAAACTGATCACTGTTTTCTCAGCTTTAAGTTATTTTATTCCTTTATGATTCTATATGCAAAATATTATGACCGCTGATGTTTAACAGAGCATGTGAAAATTGGACATGCATTGAAATCACTACATATTTACTGACCTCAGGACTCTTTAACGACATTTCAGTGAGGAAGTAAAATAAAGGTATATCTGATGTCACACTTTTCAATAACTTTATTAAAGCAAACAAATGAACTTATACAGTGTTAAGTAAACAGAACAAATGTCACGATCACAAATCTTGAATAGAACTAGAGTTGGTATCACTCTATCTTAACTAACCTGGATTAAACCCAAGTACAGTAGCAGAATCAGCTAGAGAGGGCGGGGGAGGAAGGGGTTACTTATACAGAATTTGGTACAAGGAAAATCAAGTGTTCAAATTCTTATCGGCAATACCTAGTTATGTAATTTGTTGACAGAAACAGAAGCTTTCTCCACAAATATAGACCAACAAGGGCAGAAAGGAGACTCATTTAGAGAGAAAACACCCCGTATATGACGGAACTACATGATTCAGGGTGGAGATTCCGTCTTGGTTGGTGCTTTATAAACAGGACTGGAGAGGCAAGTAAGAAGGTGAACAGTGAGGTGTGTCAGAGAAATGGGAACGATTCTTCAATGCTTACTTTTGTTGTTATCATATACCTGAATGCTATCATTCTGGTCTACATAGATTTGCTCTTCCAAATGTACTGTCTGATACAGGGGCCAGGAAAATGAACAGTGGGCCAAATCCACCTGTTTTTGTAAGTTAAGCTTTATTGGAACACAGCCATATCCATTCATTTACATATTATCTATGGTTGGTTTTGTGCTACTAGGGCAGAGTTCAGTATGGTACATAAAGCTAAAAATATTCACTATCTGGAAAAGTGTGCTAACGCTCTCAGCAATCACAGGAGCCCAATACAAAATATATATGTATATGATTAATGTCATTACAATTTTGGGTCAAATTACTATTTAGGAAATGTTTAGTTATGGTTTTCCATATGCCTTAAATAAAAATACTTAAGATAAAAAAGTTTATAGTGTAGCACAGCTAACAGCTCTTGACAAAATATCTTCCCACAACGATACTTCTGAAGATATAGAAAAGGTCGCAACTTTTACCTCCAAAAGGTATAACAACTAACCTCCTGCCTCTGACCATATGACATTCTGTGGCTTGCCTTTGCTTTATAAACCTAAATAGAAATCAGAACCACCATTTCTTCCCAACTTTCTGCCATGTGGAACACAACATGGTCGTTATCCCTGCTGTTTGAGGCAGTCAGAGTGCCAGCCCTCACCTTTCACCTCCCTCAATATCTTTCTTTCTATATCTAGTCAGAGCCCATAATGTTAAAAAATAAAAAAACAAAAACAAATGGGAAATATGTGTGTTGGGGGAAGTAGAGGGAGTGGTAAAAAGCAGGGGTGAGGGGAGGAGGACACCCCAAATGTGAAGCACACAGTTACTGGGAGAGACAGAAAGAGTCCTTTTAGTGCTGCAAACTGGGGATTATAATTTTTGTTTCATGTATTCAGAATGTAAAAGGGTTGGGCCGCGGGGATAGGAAAAGATCTGATCTCAGCACCACAGAGCTGCACTACGTGAAAAACTTCCAGATGCTGGGACTAGCAGGACAGTCACATTTCTTAGCATCTGGCTAAGGATCCAACAAGGGGAATTGGCCAAAGGCAGGCCTTTGCAGCTTTCCTTGCAGCTTTCAAGCAGTGGATATGAATAGATTTCTTTTGATCAAGGATAAGTAAATACAAAGAAAGGAACTTCGGGGAAAAACCCTGAAGAACAAGTGAAAGGAATAGCATTCTGAAAATTCAGAGAAACAGCCGATTTCTGAATACTACATACTACAAGATCTAAAAGAAAATATTTAAAAGCCAGTTTACAACTTCCAGAAAATATAAGAAAATGCAGCCGTTATTAAATAGAAGCAGGAAGCAATAAAGAAAGAATAAGCATTGGGATAAAAAAAATCAATGAACTAACGATAGGAGAAATAAGGAAGAATTAAAATAAAATTAATGTGAAATCTTCAAATTAAAATCAATACTGGAGGTAGTAAATGTAAAGTAAACAGGCTTGCTCCAGGATGAAGAGGAAGGACAAAAAGTGAAAAATGATGAGAGAGAAAGTGATTGATAATGAGGAGATAGGGAGGGGAGCCATCTAAGAATCATTAGGTATTTCTGGAGAAATGAGAATAATTGGAACGGATATGATTAATCAAAGCCACAACCAAAGAAAACATTTCAAAAACTGGAATACAGACTGAAAGGGCTTCACATTATTCTAGGCAAAGCATGTAAAAAGACACCTCACTGAGAAATAGCCAGAAAAACGTTTGAATTATAAAGATAAAGAAACATCCTGCAAAAATCCAACAGAGTAAAAGTAACTGAATATAATGGAATTGAAAGTAGACAGACCTCAGAGTTCTCCATGGCACTAAGTTCCAGAATGCAATGGAAAGGAGACTACAGGGTTGAGATGGAAAGAGATTATAATTGCCCTCTATTTTAGACCCCTCAAAATTATCTTTCATGAATATAGACAACAAGAATATAATTATCAAACACTTTAGTGGCTCAGAAGATATACCAATCTATCTTTTTTGAAAAAATATCCAAAGATAAAGCTCAACATACTCAGATTAATCACTATTGATAATGAGACAATTACAGTATTTAAAAAAAGTGGTGGTAATACCATCAGAACAACTCTCATCAGATTGAACAGGCCATTTTAACAAACTACAAATATGTGGATGGGTGAGGGATCTTTTCACAAGGCATCTGGGCAAAAGCTGAGAGCAAGGAATTTCAATATTTACATCCTTCATTAAGGAACAACTTATTTGGACATAAAGGGTTTCTCCTTTCATCAGGGATTATCACCAATTTCTAAAATGTGATTATAACTATGCCAACAAATGTATTCACATGTGCCTACCAAAAAATTGAAACAAATTACAAAAATAATTCTATCGTGATGTTTTTGAATAATGGAAATACAGATGATCATTTTCTTTTCTGCATTTCTAAGCTTTCCTTAATGTATAATAGATTCCTTTCACAATATAAACCCTTACATTAAAGATCAAATTTTTCTAGAGGTCAAGACCTAGAAATATATTTCTTCTGACGAACTTGTGTTTTTTTAATATTTAATGAGTTAGTGCATATAAAATGCAATAGTGCTCAATGAGATTAGCAGCTATTGTTATTGTGATTATTATTATCATACATAAATGGTATGAAACTTATCATTTTTGAGGCAATATAGCATAATGGTTAAAAATACGAGTCAGGTGTGGTCAGCTGAAGTTGTGATATAGAACTGCCTACGTTAGAATCACTGACACTTGTTAAATGTGTTACCTTGAGCAAGATACTTAACCTCGCTATATCTCAGTTTTATATACTGTAAAATAGTATGATAATAATAACTCCTACTTCACAGGGTTGTTATGAGAAGTACAAAGCTCTTAAAGTTAGTGATTGGTACATAATAAATGCTCAAAATGTGGTGATGGTAGAGGGTGGTGGTGATAATGTTTCCATCAAAAGCACCAATTCTACTGCATCTTTTTACATCCTCGGAACATCCAATATTTAACACTGACATTAAATTTAAAAACTGATTCTAAATAATCTGACAGTTGGTTTTTTAAAAAAATATGTTGTGGCAAAAATATAAACTTAACCAATGCAAGAATGGTTAAAATCAACCTATTTCCAAGACTTCAGAATGCTTCCATATCATTTAGCTGTAAAGTACAGTGCCAAATTACATCTTGTCAAATTAAACAATGCAGACTATAAGTGTTTGAAGCTAGAATTTACATTTAATGTTTTTAAAAATTGGAACTAGTACTTTCAATTATTCCAATTATCTAACCCCCTAACATACAGTCCATGATTAAGTGTTTAAAGATTTAAAGCCGAAAGGTCACTGTGGGGTGTTCCCTCAATCCCCCCTCCCACCTTCTTTATTGTAACCATGGCAAACTGCTTAATTACCGTTCATACATGAGGGGACGAAAGCCTGGAATATCTAAGTCAAGATGCCCAACAGTACAGTGCTCTCTGAATGTCAGACATTGTACAAGTCCACCAAGAAGCTCATTTGTAGTCTTAAAGCTAGGACAATGCTTGGTGATGAATTGGGAGATGTGACATGAGTGCAGTAGCTGTTGTTGTATGGGTAATACAATCCAGCCTTTCAATTCGATACATTTTCCCTTTATTTGGCATTTAGCATTTCTTGTCTAATTGCCTTTTGTCTGCCTTTAAAAATATTGCCCAATTGTCACAATATGCCATGTTATTGATTTTGTTTTATTTGACACAAAGTACTGCTCTGTATCAACTCAATGTTGGCTTCCAGCTTTTCCTTAGATCAAAAATGAGCTATTTTTCAACTGGAGGCAAACTCCCTTCATGCTTATCTGTCAAGAAACCTCCACAGGAGCCTCTGGAGGAGGAAAAACTATAAAACATCATCTAGGCCACATTTACTTGCAATTGATTTTCTTTTCTAAATTTATGTGATGAGCCTAATGTTTTGAAAATCAGACCAGCTTTACATGAATAAGATCCCATTATTTGAAACTGACCCAGAGACAAACCTTTGATAATTTGAATCACTATCTTATAAAAATTAAATAGTGTATCTGAATAATCTTCAAAAGGCAGCTTATACCTCTGTATTGACAAACATTAACAAACCTGTTCGATATTACTGATTTTTTCCAGATGTTGAGCTTGACATTTTGGGGACATCTGTAACTGGAGAGGTGGCTTCTTTGTGTGTCTCCTCAAGGCTCAGAATCATAATGTAACAATTAGCCTAAATGGCTGGTAATTAGACCTATCTGTGGCTTCTCAGGCTAAAAGAAATGTGTTAGCGGTGGTCTCCAAAAGTATAAGAAAAACAAAACAGCCTTTGCTTCTTGTTCCTGGACTTCCAGGACTGCCTGACATAATCTCAGACGGAACTCCAAGTCCCTGTGCAGTGCCGCGAACAGTCAGTGAAGGACCCATTCCGAGGCCGTCTTCCTTACCTGGTTACAAAACAGAGGCTGACACTGAGCTGCGAAGCACTGGGTGACCCCGTTTCTACACATGCATTTGGCACACCGACTCACTGGCCAGTCCTCGCCATCCTGAAACACACGGCCTCCGTAGGAACATGGCTCTGGAAGGTCAGAAAAGTAAAAATTACTGGGCGAGTCAGGGGTGGGGCGTGGGGGTTGTGCTGTGCTTGCTGATCTCAGGCCTGTCTACATGGGTGTGGCCAGTGAAGCCACACAGGGCCCATAGTCAGGGACCCAGTGCAAAATAGGGGCCCCATGCTTGGGGGTTAAAGCTTTGCAGTAACTGTACAGAGTTCTTAATAACTCTCTGAGTTTTGTAAGGGAAATCCAGTGAGACAACGACGCATGTTTTGGGGGTTTAGGGCCACCTCCTGCTGCCTCCTCGCCTTCCTGGAATGGGTTTTCAGCCTCCATCTCCCAAACCCACACCATCCACCCACAGCGGGGACCTGGGTGCTGTGCCAGTGGAGTGCATGTACCCTAAGCACCAAGTAGCAGGGTGGGGTCTGGGGAGCCCATTGGGGTTTCCACTAACCCAGCAAGTATCCCTATGCCTGAGGGAGTGTGACCTTAAATAGCAAATTAAAACATGACAGGTTGAGAAAGACCGCAGAAGAAAAGAAATGGCACTCCCCCTCAACCCTGCCTTTTGTACAGTGGGCTCTGCACTTCCATTTCGCACCCAGCGAGCTATGGAGTTGGCCCTGGCGGCCTCTCCAGACTCTCCAGGCAAAATGCTTCCAGTGTGTCTTTCTCATGGAGGGACTGCAAGGAAGCCCCCTAACATGTAAGAAAGGATCCCACAAACTCAGACAGCCCACTCCCCACCCAAACCTTAAACGCTGCTCTTCAACTATTTTTATTTGCAGGGTTATCAGGCCCAAAGCAGCTGCCAGTCCTTCTCTAGTAGGTGACATCTGAAACGCATGAGGCAAGCATTCTACTTTCATCATTTGCTCAGCACAGTTTCAAATCTCTGGAATGGTCTCCAGGGTAAAGAATTGCCAGGAATGGAATAACTGGGGATCACAAAGAAACCAGGGGTCTTTTTACAGGGAAAAGGCAAGAAGAGAATGTAGCTTCCACGTGCCATTAAATAAAAGAATAATTTTAGCTAGTATTTGCCAGGAGAGAACATAGTGCGGCAACAACAATAATTCGTATTTATTGTGAAGTATTTTATACTTAGTTGTAAAAACGGAAGGGGACATAGATCTGTAAAATGTAATAAAAAGGGTGCTTGGACCAGGTGTGAATCCCAAGGAAAGGGCCTGGAGGTGTGTCCCTGGCTCACTGAGCCCTACCTGAGTTTGCACGCAGGCATAATTGCCACCTCAAAGATGCAATAAAGACAGATGAAATACCTGCTTCCTGCTCTGTGTGTCCTGGAGAAAGATGCTATGTCATCTCGAACACTAGCCAGCGGAATTAGTGCCAGTGATTCTACATGGAGAAGTGATTTGTTCATTTTTCTCTCTGCCAAGAGGCAGGAGGAACTACCTTGGCCTTATGGAATCATATCAAAAGGACCTTGCCCCCCCTCCCTTTCCTTCTCAGGAGCTATGAATGCAGGGGGAACGCATCTGGCCAAGGCAAAATAGATCAATCAGAGACTTGCAGAATCCCAAGTTTGGAAAAGAGCTTATAGATTTGTTCCAACCTCACTGTCTGCAATATTGCTTCTTGTCAAGTGCAAGGCTAAATCTTATTCCAATAAGGAATTGGGTTAGGGATCTTTGCACTGCACAGAACAAGAAAGAGAAGAGTTGGGATGTCACCAGGTGAATCTCAAAGGCAAACGAGGTCTTTGTCTACAGGCTCATACTTACTCCCAGGGCCCACACAGATGGGACAGCAGCTTCCTTCTGGGATGAATTCCAGCTCCTGGTGGCCACATAACAGCGGTGGGCACGGTTGAGGGGTGCATCGGACTTCCCCATGAGTGCAGGAGCACACACTACACGGGGAGGAGGACCACTCTGTCCCATGCTGGGTGTTAGGAAAAAAAAAGAAAAAGAAGGTTATAGCCCAAATATAGGCTTTCACTAGGCCAACCAGAAACCAACCTCTTAAATGAAAAATGGAGCTCAGGAAAAATGAAACAAGTCTGTAGGTTTGCAAGATTGAGACCAGAGTTTGCCATAATGTTCCAAGTCTTAAACCAATGTAAGAACTGGCTTTTATTTTATTTTCATTATTCCTAATGTTTATATTTGAAAATTTCAGAAAAGCAAAAAAAGAAAATAAAAATTAACTCCATCCCATCATTTAAAAAATTCTATAAAGCTCAAAGTAAAATACATACACATACACATATATTTACTGAATTCTCTATAATGCTTATATTATTTTCAATAGCTCTCACTCTGGTTTTCTTTCTTTCTTTCCTCTCCCTCCTCCTTCTCCTCCTTTTTTGCCTTTACTTTTTACTCTGATTAGTCCCCAAGTTCATTCATATTCTTTCTACCTCTATCCCTCCCTCCCTCCACACCCCCCACTCTCCTCTTTCCAATGATGTGAGGGTCCTGGGGAAAGTGTGATTGATAGCCAGCAGGAGGCATCTGCTCCATCCAGTCCTTCCACAAACTGCAGCGTCAACTCATTACCTGTGAGGATGTCCATCTAAACACAGACACTATTCCTAATCCACTTTAGGCTGGGGCACAACCTTCCCAAAGCCAGCAGCGTATCAGTGAGCTAAGAGATGCATGTTTGGAGTTAGCCTATGATTTACTGAGTACCAAAAGTGTCTATAATACATGAGACACTCTCAGATGTGATGCAGGGTTAAGGGGTGCAGGTGGGGGTGTGTGTGGGGGTTAATCCTGAATGTAAAAAGCTACAAATATGTTGATTGTTTAGGAAAGTAGTTGTCAAAATATGTTTTCAATGGCAGAATGGAATAATGGTGGTCTTTTACAAGATGTGAGGGGAAAATTAGCGTAATGAATAAGGTTTCCTCCTGTAACATTTTCTTAAATATTGGAATCTGCTTTCCTTTGCCTCTATTAAATGCAGTATATGATGATATCTGATTCAGCACAAATCATTATAGACCTCTATTAAAAAACATCACACATACTGTGCCACTGACGAGAATAGAAAATAAAGTCTTCTTGCTCCTCCACAAAACAGCATCCAGACTAATCATTCATCTCTCTCCAACACAAAAGAACTCTGTCTTACCTAAACAAGTCAGTATCCCTTTATTCTGCAAATTGCTGCCAGGTTGCAAGCACATCAAGTCTGACATTTTGGAATTACTAATAACTTGTACTATTATTGTAACAATGATATAATAATAATAGGCAGTCACAGTCATTTAATTCTTTGGAAACCAAGTTCTCGCCTTACTCTCATGAAGATTATGTTCCTCTAGGTGGACTTACTGGGAGCACACGAAGGCAATAAAGGAAGTATGCATCGAGTCCGAATAAAAGAAGGTCTCCTGGGATGTTTGCATGCTCTCAGATCCCAATGCTCAACCCTCCCTGCTTTGGGGACAATGGATGAGTGACTTAATCTTTCTAAATCTCAGCTTCCTAAAAAACTGAAATGGTATGACAACATCCCCTTCATTGGGTACATTATAAGGGTTAAATGAGGTAGCTTGTTAAAGAGCTAGCTTGTTAAGGAGGGATGGGGGGTGAGGGGGCAGGTAGAAGGTGCTAGATTCTCTCCTCAATTTCCACCTCAGGAGTTCATGGTCTTCCTCCCTCTTTTCACACCTATGTGCCGATAGTGACTGTAGGAATGGACAGCATACCAAGGCCAAGTCCTCTCCCATCAATTTTTACTTCTGCTATAACTAAATATAAAATTTCAAATTTAGTACAGCATGAAAGTGGGCAAGCTCACAACTTGCTAATAAACTACTGGCTAATAAAAGATAGAGGGCAATTGACCTTGATGCTTGGAAAAGGCCTAAGCATAAAAGCAAAGGAAGAAATTATAAGAGGAAAACCGATAGGTTCTGATGAGTTTAAAATTTGAAGTCTATCAAAAATACATTATAAACAAAATAAAAAGGCAAATGGCAAACTGATTTAAAAATTGCAAATTATATTAATTAGAAGTAATCTATAGAATATAAAAGCACTAACAAGCAGTAAGAAAAAAAACCTCAATGGAAAAAATGGCAATAAGCTTATAGAATATTCAACTTTCTTAATTGCAAAAAAGTATCAATTAAAATAAAAATTAGAAAATATTTAATAAAAGATATGGGAAGAGCTTAAAATTCGTATTAGCTAGTGTTGGTGAAGCTGCAGCGCAGTGAGATTCTCCTCACAGAGCCTTCCTCACTATAGCACCTGGAATAACTCAGCCAGACGGGGACTGTACTATCCATGATACTCCCACTGGGTTTATCATTAGACACAGACGACTTCAAATTGATTTACTAATGACCACAGATATCATAGCTTCAATACTCAAAATCTTTAGTCGCTTTGACCTACTAATTTCACTTTTAAGAAGTTATCTGAAGAACATAATCAATGATACACAAAAAGCTTTAAATACCAGCAATTTCATCTCATTGTTTTTCGTGACAAAATTGGAAATATTTTAGTGAAAAGCTACCCATTAGCCTAATAATAGAAAATCATGTTCTCCAAAAGTATACTAGGATACAAAAGTATTATAGCATACATAATGCTATATAAAAAAAGCAAGATATAAATTGTATACATAGTATAATTATAATTATGTAAAAACATATATCTCTATCTATCCATCTATCTATCTATGTATCTGTCCATCTCCACTGCCACACCCATCCCAGAAAACGAAAAGAACAGTAACAGTGGTTTTTAGAGTTTGGAAATTACTAGTGGATTTTTTTCTCTGCTTTTGTATACTTTTCTATTTTCAAAAATTTCACCAATAAACATAGTTCTATTTTTGTGATCAGAGAGCAAATTACTGTTTAAAGTATCTAATGAATCATGTATATACTATATTAAGTAAAATAAAATTTGAAGACTACATATAAAACAACTTGAAGTGAACTTCTTTATTAAAAATTAGATTGTTTCTAAGATATTTCATTTCATTAAAACAAGAGCTTGTTTTTTTTTACTACTAAGAAAACACTGTCATTTCTTAAACATTTGCAATCACACCACCTTTCAGACAGAGACCACAAAAATTAATTATAATAACAATCTGTCCACTACCCAAATTTTTTCATCTGTAAAATGAGAGGGCTGTATTAGTTAATCTCTTCAGTACCTTCAAACTGTAATGATGTGAATCTATTATTTAACTCAAGAGATATAAAAGTAAGCAGGGGATTCCCCCTTCATAATAAACTGGAGAATTATGGGAATAACAAAGAACATTTGGCAGGAAGACTGCATAGCTTGATGTCAAAGCTGCAGAAGAAGCACCAGATGGTGACCCAAAGTGCACAGAGGGAAGGAATTACTCCCACCTCTCACTTCACTGGGGAAAATTCACATAAATCCCCTCCATTTTCACCTCCTACTCCAATCCCTACAACATGACAACTTTCTCACCAAAGGGAGACTAGAGATCAAGGGGTTCAGCACATACTGATATATACTGGGGGTACCAAAAAATGTATACACATTTTAAGAGACGTTATCTACGTATTACTTTTCAAAGTTGAATTAAATTATGGTAGCAATGTGTAGTATGACGTTCGCTCAAAAGATGGTGTTAATCAAATGAATGCTAGTATCACCATGTGACATACAGTACAGTCAAAGAAGCATGGTTGTCGTTAAGAGGAGCACAAGACCATTTTGAAGTGGTATTTGAAATTCAAGAACCTTGTGAAGAACAACAACAATGGAGGCATGCGTATGCAACAGAACCTCCAGCATGCCTAGCAATTGCACGCATTCGTGATAAGTCTGAGACACATGGTACTGCGTGTGCTGTGCACAGGGAAGATCTGGGAGGCCTTGCACAGCAACAATTCCTGCTTCTTCTGCTATTGTGTTGGGACAGTTTACACATTCGCCACAGAAGTCTACCAAATGATGTTCACCATAATCAGAAGTGTCTGGACACTGATGGTAACCACATTGAGCACCTCTTGTAATTGCAGAAGTCAAACGTGACTTGTATTCATCTTTTGTTATCGGTATATATTGAGTATTACAATTTTAATAGTTTTTTTTCTTTCTTAAAATGCGTATACATTTTTTTTGGCACCTTCTGTATATAACTTCAGTGTTCTATATACCCATTTACAAACACCTAATGTTTTATAAACACTGTAGCAGCAAAGAGCTTTGTAAAATCAAGAAATAATAGCTCTAAAATGAAATGTTCCCACAAGACCTGGTTTTAGCTGTGTCATCTTAACCTCATTAATACTTTTCGAAAACATAAGCTTTTGACACTGGGCAAAAAGCGCATTCTGCAGACATCTTAAATATATTCTTCTGCATAGCCAACTAACAAGTCAGCTTGGCTGTTGACATAAGTCCAAAGGAAAGATAAGGTCATAAAGTATTTGCCTGGCTTGACTGGCAGAACAAAATAATTTTTCTTCATGTAATTTGTTCCCATTATGAAGTTATAGAGGTAGAATACGAAATATCTGGGAATATTCAGTGCATGTTATAATGACATCCTCTATGTTGAGGAGAAAAAGGCTGTGGAATTCAATATTCATTTCTTGCCTCATACACATAAATTAGTTCTTCTTTTAGCCTCAGTCCCATGCAGGCACTAGGGCGTTACCACCTGCCACTTCTTTTTTTAGTTAATCTTCAAGCATTATCTTTTCAGACATGACATTATCTGGTACTAGGGTTAAATTAGTACAGAGGAAAAGAACAGAATTAATGGTCTTTCCCCCTCCCTTTCACAGGCTTATTTGTGGGGGACAAAAACAGGAGAAAAGCATTTCAACACTCTTTAGGAAAACATATTTCAGGCTCGTCTCCCTGACTGGTTGGCAAGGCTGGGCAGAGATCCAAATGCTAATTTGAAGGGATAGCTTTTGGGAGGTCATGGATGAAACGGCCCCCCAAATGCTGGCTGTAATAAGCCTATGTAAAACTGTCAAATAATCTGGAGTCAGTCAAAAGGCTCAAGTGTTTTCCTCACTCCAGGGACGATGCTGAGACTTGCTTGACTTGCTGGAATGCCAGTTGTATAAGATGCTGCCTACTCTGCAGGCAAAGGAGGTTCCCTAGCCAGGCATGGCTGTTTCCTTAAAGCCAGGCTTCCTCGTCCTGCCCTGAGCTCCACCCATTCATCCTTGACTTTCCTTTGTTTCAACCCTATTCTCTGGGGACATTTCCACTGATGCGCCTCCTGCCACACTCACTCTATCCAAGCCTCTTCTAAATCTCTCTCTTAGGGGAAAGCTTTCACTTCAGATCACCATTCCAGAGTTCTTAAAACACCAGGCTGTTTTATAGGTATTGGAAGAGAGTCTCCGTAACCTGCCCTATGGGATGCAAGCCAGAGGCTACAGGCAGGATTATTGTTGTTCAGTTAGAGGGGAGAGTGCTCTGGAAACTGTTTCCCAAGCAAGCAGAAATGGGGGGAGAAAGGCTCCAAACTTCAGGAAAAAATGTGTGATGAAGTGACAAGGTGAGACTCAGAGGAAACCCAGATAAGCACTTAACCCATTCAAGAAAAAGAATAATAGTAAGGAGGATTTAGCAAGAATCTAGGGGAAGTGAAGAAACAAAGAGAGGAAAGAAAGACAGAAAGACAAGAAACATGGTAATTTTAACCTTATTAAGACTAAAATGGGAAGATTTTTTTGTCTTGGCTTAAAAAGAAAATCATTCTTCTATCTCTATTTGAAGAAATGGACCATTAGAAATGTCTTCCTTCAAAGTACAATTCCTTACATTCAGCCTTTTTCTCAGCCATATCAGTACCAGAAAAATAATTTTAACATTTCTGAGGGGGTACATTTTGAGAGTCGCACATGGGAAAATGACATGTGGATATGCTCTTACCCAGTTTAGAGCTTTCCACATCACATATTACAGCAGAAGGGGTGACCCGCAAAGGAGGCAGGCAGGAGGAAGACTTTCTGAGCTCTCCCAGAAAAAGTAGGCCAAGTGGATTTCTAACTAACCCATCAACAGATCTGTGGTCCCAGAGCTGCCCAGCCACACAAGCATTTGGTCAATGACCAACATGCCCTTGGGACAAGGACATGGATAAGTTGGAGAAGGGATTTACTCATTATTTGAGTCCTCTAGTCTTCAATGTTTATTGAACACCTACTCCAGGAAAAGTTCAGTGCTAAGTGCCAGGTTAGGTGAGAGGCAAGGAAGAGCACTCTAAAGATACAGAAAATATTGTTACGTTTCTCAGGCCTCTTCAATCAAGATAAGAAGATTGCACATGCGCACAAATATAACAGGAGAGGGTAAATGATAAGTGTCATTAAGAGTGGTCCATGCAAAGATTTATTGAACCCTGATTCCCCATGTCCCTGGTACAACCTCTAATTTGATATGTCTGATATTCCCCAGATCCTGACCTTATTTTGATCCTATGTGCTCTTTTATTGGAATGATTCAGTTTAATGCTTTGACCTTGAACCACACACCTATTCCCATCATTACTACCTGGCATTACTTCCATTACCAATCTGCCCTGCAGCACTTTCCATTTCACAAGGACCCTTTTCTGTGGAATGTAAAATTTACATCACCCTACATAACAGACTGAATTGAGCGGCATAGGCGATACGCAGTCTGAAGATATTCCCAACACAGACCCCACTTGGGTGTCTTTCAGCACCATATTGTGCAGAAGTGAATGAGGGCTTCCTCAGGTACTTAGGAGACCGTAGCTCAAGTGAGATGATCCCGTCCCACAGGGAAAGCGCACTGTACTTACGGAGCTTCAGTTACGCATACTGAATAGCAGCCGGAAGTGGATATATCAAATCCTGCTAACCTATGCTGTGTCCTGAATGGGGAGAGACACTAACTTGGGAAAAGTTTTATATCAAGTGGAAGATGAGGATTAAAGCAAAGAGCCTCTTTCTATCACATTCAACCTCGCCTGCTGCCTCCTGGTATCATGTAGGTCTGAGTGAAGATGAACTATATCCATTCCATTTTCATAATTCCTACTATAAACTTTGCAATGGTACTTTTTAATCACGATCTAACATGTTTGAATTAATCCTAAAGGGTCTGGAATGAAAAAGTATAATAAAGGAACTTTAGGATTGATTTCTAGTACTGTGGTTCTAAACAGGGGCAGGTGAGCATTTTGCTGCTTAGGGGAAATTGGTCATGCCTGCGGGCATTTCCGGTTGTCAGGACTAAGGGCGGCACTGCTGGCATGTAATGGGTAGAGGCCAGGGATGCTGCTAAATTTCTTATGATGCATAGGGCAGCCCCCCCACCCCCCCATCAAAGCCTAAAATGTCAAGTGTTGAAGTTTAGAAACTTTACCCTAAGGGACAGAGACCTGAATTAAGAGTAAGAAGACCAGAATTCTAGGCCAAGTTATACCACTTATTAGTAATATGATATTGGGCAAGTGCCTCAAGCTCTTTGCAATTCAACTTTTTCATCTTTAACATGGGGCTAATAACATCTGCTCTACTCAGCCACTCAGGGCTGTCTGTAACTATCAACAGAAAAAAATGTCTGTGGGATACAAAGACCAGGTGGCATTTTTATTACTTAACATCACAACTTGTTCAACATCAACATTCTCAGACTACCTTTTCTACAGACACGAATTCAATCTACATATATTTACGTAGGGCCTATGGAATAAATAGGACCGTTTTTAATCTTATTCAGGAAACCCGAATGCCCATGGAAAGTCACATGAGTTTGGGTCCTCCACAGCCAGACAAAGGAAAAAAAATCCTCTCTTGTCAACACAAGGTTAGCATTCAGCTTTCCCTTCCCTTGTCAATGACAAACAGACACAGAGTCAACTGTGGGTCAGAAAACACTCACCGCATAGATTTTCTTCTCATGATGGCAAGATCCAGGAATCGTCGCTACACACTCAGGGCAGCATTGGTTGGCAGCTATCTGAAGCACTTCTCCCTGAGCATTCAAAAACAGCTCAGTGTAAAACAGCAGCAGCAAATACAGTCACAATGGTTCATCACACCCCGAGCCATCTCAGGTTCACTAAATCTCATGAGTTTCCACGAGTGACAACAACAGACAGGATAAACCAAATGAACTAATAAAAAGGATTCTCTCTGTCAAGATGAGCTTCTCTCCAAGATAAAATGAACCCCCTTGTGAAAGTAATTTCCTTGAAAATTGTCTATATCTTTTCACGTGTAATGAAGTGAAGAATTTTATTCACTAGAAATGTTTCAACTGAGTGTCACAGAAGAAAAGCAGTCAGGGTGAGAGAACAACTATATCTCCTTAAAAGAAAAGACCCGGATGAAGGTGGGAGGTGGCCACAGAGCGGGCAGGTCGTCCAGCTTTCCCCCAGAGGCCTAATGCAGCCAGCAGGGAGGAGCAGAAGCTCTGGTGTTCACTGTTGCCTGGGACGCAGAGTGGCAAAGCACACAGGGCAGGAGACTGAAGGACAAAGCTGGGAGAGGAAACAGCATTGCTGAGGTATCATGTGTACTGTGGGGAGCTGCTTAGAATTCAGGGACTCCAGTAAAGATCTACATTGTTGTTCAAGTCTTCTATAATTGTCATTGTGTTTCCTATCAAGATGTGATACTATCAAGGGAATGGGCTACCACAGGACACCCTAGAATTTATTGGGAAGTTGTTAACTAACCATCCATTTGCCATAGTGAAGAATCCATTTATCTAAGAGTTATTAAAATGATAAAGAGCTTACATTTATCTTTGGAGCCAGTGATTCTTTTATTAGATCTTTTTTTTTTTTTTTTTTTTTTTTT